ACTTGGAGAACCTGCTTTTCCTCTGACCATTATGATCAGACTTGAGTCATACTGGAGTTTGCGGTTTGATACAAAAGAAAGGGGTGTCCACTAGTTCCAGTTCAACACAGCTCGGGCTTACAGTTTTTGGGGCTTTTCTTTATATTTCCAGTGGGGGTTACGTCATGTAACAGTTCCAGTTTTTTAGCACCTACTCAGTCGAGGCTCCATCAGAGCTAAGTCGGGCCAATGGCAGAGTGCAGGGGCACTGATTGGCCTGGTAGTCACATGATTCGCATGAATAGCAACTCCTTCACATGATGCCTCATAAATTATCCAACATCTATCGTTTTTGTCGCATACAAATGATGTCAAGGGCCGGCTAACGCGAATTTCTGCCAGGACCTCCTTTTTGTTATGTAGAACCACCTAAGAACTAACGAGACAACCTTCCAAAACGTGAAAATTCTTTATAGTAATTAAATATACGGAGCATTTAACATACGGCAGACAGAAAAAAGGTAATTTAACTACCCTTAAACCACTAAGGAGAACAAAATTATTTGGATTTAAACTTTATTTTATAATCATCCTATCTTGCCTACATGTGACAAACAAAAATGAGCAAATGAAACCTCTGATACTTAGACGGGCTATCCAAGTATTTAAAACTTTTGGATGATTTCAATTGTCCCAAATAGGTTAATGATAGGTGTAGAGTTGTCATATAGAAATGTGGCCCACAACTTCTTCCCTGCAGTGCGTTTAGCAATGATCGTTACAGCAGAATGTGAATGATAAGATGGGAAGATAGGGGAGTCACACATCTTCTGCTGATAAGAGGGAACACCCAGACCTCGGTGAGCACGCGCTGTACGCGGCGTGGGCGTGATATCAGTCGTCTTCCATCCATTCCACAACTAAAGCCTGGCTCGCACGCAACGCAGCAGCAAAGCTGCAGGCCAAGAATCGAGGTGTTCCAGTGGTCCACACCTCAAGAGAGCTGTTCATGAACCAGTCCTAAAAAAGCCTTAAGAAATTAATCATGTTTTAAAGAGGGGTAAAATTCCTTCGCTTTAATGTGAGAAGCTGATAACATCAGCCTGGAAACGGTTGTAAAGGTGGTTCTACAAGCTGTTGAGTGATGGCGTGTACTTAGTAATCAAACATTATAACACTTCGTGACCTTTGTTAATCTAAGTCTCCTAATGATGAGCACTGATTGTGACCCGAGATATGAGGCCTTACAAGCGAGAGACGCTCCACTTTTTTCTCTTTTTTTGGGGGGCGCCGATTACTTTTCACTTTGCTTTTAGCATGGCTCTTCTTTTTCTTTTTTTCTAACAGGCCAAAGTCCTAACGGGGCCTCTCTGTACTGTCCCGCTGTCCAGAAACTCTCCCGAAAACCGAATCTGACGCTAGCAGGAACTTTCTGTTTGAAATGGCTCCCCACGAGAGCAGGCTTTGCTGACACGCCCTGAGTAAACCGCTCCGTATCTCACCC